ACCACCGTACGACTTAGACGGTATTTTTTTTCTCCGAGTCTTTTCGATTAATAACCACAAATGCATTGTTAGCTGCAGCGAGCTTCTTTTTTCATATACCAGTTCAACAAATATTTGGTAGTTCGAAACAATTTTTTTCTGTTTGATTTTGAATTTATCAGTAGAAGCAAAAAATGCTCGTTCTTGTATGAATGCATCTGTCTTGTTTGTCCTGTATATATATATATATATATATATATATATATATATATATATATATATATATATATTTGGAAAGGTTAGTAATTGGTATAGGGGATGATGCAGGTTGGGCGCCACATGCGTATTTCAATATGATGGCAGAGTCGCAGAATGACAACGTATCATCAACGAACAACAGAAACGTAAGGGAATCGGAGCTTGGGAGTGTTTGATTCTCTTTCCAGGTATTATCACACCGCTCTCGACTCAGTACTCAATCTTTAAAAAAACACATGAAATGTGGGAGATGGCCAATTGGCGCACATAGGTAGTAGAAAACGATGTACAGAATACAGTTATTCTGTTTCTTTTGTCCCTTTCTCTACTATTCGCACCATGTTGAATTTGCAAGAAAAAAATTATAGATTGTGATGATTTCTATATTTTCGTTTTTTTGACAAAAAGAGCTATGGTTTCTATTCATATAAAACAGATTTTCGACATTTTTTATTTGTCTTTAGATGGTAATATCTAGCACGCACACACACTATCGTAAACTCGAGCATGCCGTTGGACCATTTTTTTGGGTTCGTTTTTTTTTTTGGCAGCAAATAAAAAAAAAATACGATCTAAGGAACACGAATTTTAGTCTATTGAAACCGAAAATTTCATCTATTTTCGACCCTCTCTTACTTCTTTTGTCTGATGCAAGTACATATAACTCACCGTTCGAGAAGATTTTCTGCTTTCAAGAATACTGCAGTTGCCCCTTTCAATCATCCACACATTGAGCACCTCACTTAATTAATAGAATTCGACGAAGAAGCCAATTCCGTCACCAACTCCTTCTTCTTGGTCGAAAACTTACTTTGAACAGGCGAGGAACTTTCGCAGCTGCTTTGTTTAATTCTTTTCCTCATAATAAATTTTCCCAATCCATCACTTTCCGTCGGCACACACCTCTTCATACAGATTTCCGTCACTTCCGTTAGCCTCTTTCGATCCACAAGATTTTCAAGATCATTCTCAACTTGGTCGCTGTCACCAACTTCTTCAATTCCGTGCTCTTGCAACGTACTTTCTTTGACAATTTCAAGGATTTTGTCCCCCTCTTCTCCTCCTCCCACATTAGCTCCTCGAGATTCAACTTCTTGATCGGCATTAATTATACTCTTAACAACGCCTCTCGGTTCTTTTTCGTTCGTTCTTTTTCTGTAAACATGCTGCCACACGTTCTTGAGAGTTTTCGATGAGATGGGCTTTTCCAGAAAGAAGCAAGCTCCCTTTTCCATGGCTTCCTTAACCGTATCCTTGTTCGATTCTTTGGCCATCACTAAAGAATGTAAAGCGTTGTATCAGAAAAAAAAAAAAATCAGAAAGAAAAAAAAATTAAGGATGAATAATACAAGCCACATACATATGATGGGAAGATTCTTGATTAGATGTACATTCTCGATAAACTTGAAGAAGTCGATTTCACGCATGTTGGTATCGGCCATGATGAGATCGAAGTGATCCGTTCGTTCTCGCAGAATGGACAGTGCAACTGTAGCTAGTTCAGTAGTGGTAACTGTAACAAAAATCAAGAATCATAAATGTATTGTGTATATATATATATATACATGTACATATGTATATATGTTATTCATTTTATATTCGTCGGTTTTGTATCTGATGATACAAAAACTGCCGAGTGACTCGATAGATGGAAGTCGAGTTAGAATCGAGATAGATAGATGAAAAAGGCTGCATAACAAGGTCAATAAATAAATAAATAAATAAATAAATAAAAATGTACCTCTATAGGAATAATCCTCTAACTCGGATGCCATGTTTAACAAGGATAGGGTATCGTTATCAACGAGCAGAACCCGAACCCCACGAAATGGTGTCGGAACGGCACTAGTCTTTTCGTCACTCATTTTTGGAGAGAGAATATAGAGAGAGAGAAAGAGAGATAGAGAGAGTGGTATATATAATAGAGTGGAAAACAATATCTTTAAATGAGTATCTTTCTATATGTTCATAAATCTGCAGCACCAGCATGCATATATACTGTGAAAGCATAAAATCCAGTCATTTTTGTGGACAATACTGCAACGGGACAATTTTCGTTGTTTCAATTAATGCTGGAGAAATTGCAAATTTATACCATTTCCTGTTAGGGAAAACATATGCTCCTCTCTCGGGGATTTTATTACATAAATTCAGGATGAGAATCCGATTCTCATCAAGATTCTACCTTCGGAGCTACTTACCTAGAATGCATGTAAATTCATGTAATTCCTGCCTCCATGAAATTAATAATTCTCAACGAAAACAATTTCGTATATGTAGTCGTTGATTTTATAATGTTGGAATTTATTTTATTTCGATTCTTGATTATACGCCCAAATGTTCATTTAATACCTTTTCTATTTGGGTTCAACTATTTCGAATGATGAAGCTAGAAATGAGAGATCCTAGTTACCGAAACCCGAATCTAGATTTAACAAAGAAAATAAGTGGTAGTAAAAATTTGAACAATTATTTCAGACAACATAGAATTGCAGATAATTAATAATAGATTTAGTTATTATTTGTAGTTATATTAGCATATTCATGGATTTGAGAATGGGCTAATTTTTTTTATGTTTTATTTTATTTTTTACGTAGACCTCATTTGGCTAGTAATATAAGACATAATTAATTAAACAATTAGATCTTATTTGATGTTTGTTCATTGCATTAACTTCAGGAATATTCTCACAATTGTAGAAAAATGAGCTCTTGTCTTGGCTAATCGAGGATTGCATATTGCACCTCCTCTAGTTAAATACAGTCTCGTTTGGTTGGTAAGATGAACCATGATTAATTAAAAAAAAAAAAAAAAAGATAACGAGCTCTGATTTTGGGTAATTGAGAAATTTCGTGTAGCACCAAACGAGATCGATCGATATACATATTATTAGTAGATGTTAGATAGCTAAGAATTAGTTAAAAGTTGTGTTAAAGAAGCGAAGAAATTAATGATGATTTTTATGTGCTCAAACAACTCTTATGTCATTGAACAGCTGCCTACCAAATATATATATATTTGCAATTAATTAATCCCACCAAACAAATATAATGCTTCTTGTTCCATAAACTTCCAACATAAGCAACAAAAAAGGCAATTAAAATGGCTCTTTACTAACTGCAAGCTGTGTGGTAATCTGGGCACCACTTTGTTCTTCCCAACAAACTGCAGTTTATTGAGTAAGATATATGAAATGAGTTGATAGGAAAATTTCATTTGTTCTTCTAACAAACTGTCAACATTATGAATAGCCCACATGGAAACAAGATACTTAGGCAATGTTCGGATACGGTTCGGGGAATTATTTTCATTTCATTTTGCAGAAATATGTCTTGACGCAATAATTGGAGGATGAAAGTAAATGAGACAAAATACACATTAGTAGTCAAATCATATGTTTAAACGTGTCAGAAAAAATTATACTCCCTCCGTTCTTAAATAGGTGTCGTTTTTCACCTTGGCAGAAATCTTAAGAATCTCAATAAATATGTCTTGATTTTAGGAAAATAGATATTGATGGACCAAAATACCCTTGTTTATTAAGTAATGCATGAAGAGTGTTATAGAGTTAATAAGGGTAAAATTGAAAAATAAGCAATTAATGCAACATTGAAATTGTAAAGTGACAGATAATATGGAACAAAAAAAATTCTTAAAAGAGACAGATATTATGGAACAGAGGGAGTACTTTAGGGAAAAAAAATTGATAAATAAAGTGATGTATGTATGTTTTTTTAGTGAAGACAAACACCAATTCATTTCGGGTAAACAATTAAACTGAGATGAAAACGTAACCAAACATTTATTTTTTCTTTGTTTTTTTCCTCTTTTATTTTTCCTAATTTTCAAGATTTTTGTTTAGATATATTGCTTGAATATAATTAGAGACTTGAAGTTTCGAACCCATCCATAAAGGAAAATTCACGACATCCATAAATGGCCACTACCCTTTTGGGAGTTAGATGCTACGTACACCTGATTATTTACATTGAGTGATTATTAATCGTAAATGAAGTGTAATGTGTGATTATGTATACATCTACGATTTATAATCGCCCAATATAAATAATCAGTTATCGGGTCTAATTTCACCTGCACTTTTTGATATTTCTAATACAATATTTGATCTATGAAAATGTTACTCGTAGATAATATGGAAATAAATAAATAAAAAATATACATACTAGTTCCATTTGTTCATAATCTTCCCGCCTAAATAATTTTTGACAAAATTAAATGACGAGAATGCCCTTAAAAGCAGTCCAAAAGCTATCACTACTCAAGTGAACGTCCATCCCCAAATTGCCATCGCTCAACAACTGAGCTGAACCAGTTGGCCATGAAATTTCATATTCCCAGATTGCCCCTACCTGCTTCGCTGCCAACTGCATATATATATAAATTATCCCTCTCTTCTTCTTCCTCGCCATTTCTCACTATTTTGTTTCTCTCTCCAAAACGTAATCAGAGCGAAAGGTCAGTTAGCCCTAAATCACTGCAATTTTTTCTCCATTCACGACGATTTCTTCCTCAACCTGCATACGATTTTTACAGGCTTGATCGATGAAGAAAATTTAAGTTAAACTTTTTGATGATTACGATTCTCAATTTATGGAAGAAGTGATGAAATTCTCATCTGTTTTGTGTTTTTCTTTTTTCTTTTTCAATCGCCTGATTACGATTTGATATGAACAGGAGATAGAAGAAATGCAGAGAGAAATCTCAATTTCGGGCCACGAGTGGCCGGATTTCTCCTCAACGCCGGCGCCGGCGCCTTTCACAGGCGACTACGATTTCGCGGCGTTATTCCACCCCTCAATTTTCCCGCCGGAGCATTCGCCTCTTCTCGATTACTCAAACGACGGCTCATTCAGTTCCCCTTCCATGGAAAGTGAAGATGCGCTAGGGTCGTATTTTCCCCAAATCCAGCAGCAGCAGCGATTGCATCAGGATTTGATGGGCCGTCACCAGAAGGTGCTGTTCCACCTAAGCGAGGCGGCGAAGCAGGCTCAGTCCCTCCGCCAGGAGAATGTCAATCTCAAAATGGCCAATTTCGAATTGAAAAATCGATTGAATTTGTTGCTCAACGGGAGGCAGTTTCATGGAGTGGATCTCGGCCCGAGTTTCGATTCTGTGGAGGACGGGTTGCGGAAGATGAGTATGGGTGTGGAAGAGGAGGGGACGAGTGAGAATGAGGCTGTGGCTAAGAGTCCGACTAGTGTGATGGACTCCGGTCTGGGTGGGCAGGGAGAACTGGAGCGGGTCAATTTGCCCAAGAGTATTTCGGTTCGTTCCAGTGGGTATTTGAAGGCAATTCGAGCTGCCAGAAAAGGAGACGACTGTGTTAAAGCATCAAACCAAAACAAAACTGATAACGAAACGGTATATTTTTCATCGTCGTATTACCTTGTGTTTATACTTTTGTTGAGTGTGGGGTTACTGTTTTTTCGTGTGTCATCAAAATGAAAACTTTATCGCAAATTTTCTATAAGTTTTACGTTAACATGTTTTGCATGAACTTGTGGCAGATTTGAGAAATTTCCCCTCATAATGGATTCAATAGTTTGCAAAAACGATGATAAAGATTTTCAGCAGAGGTTAATGTACATTTTGGATCCTTATCGTAACTTTTGGTTTGTAGATTTTAAGAAAAAATTCTCAGCATAATAGTCAGGTAATCGTAATTAGTATGGAGTTGCATAGATTTTCTCATCTCCTCTCGCTTTTCTCAAGTAACTTCATTTTGTCGGCTTCATTTGGATGTGAAATCTAATGTTTTCTGTCGACAAGATTTGCTGCATTAAACATTTGTTTTTGCCAAATATTGGAGAACTCCATCTCTATATGCTTGTAATGATATTTATTGTATGTGGGGTTATGTTATTTGTTGTTACCAATGCAGCAAAAGGTATACGTGAAAGGAGGGAAGGAGCAGCCACTTGAACTCGAAGTGTACAATCAGGGCATGATCAAGACCGAGCTGTGCAACAAATGGCAACAGACTGGAGCTTGCCCTTATGGAGATAACTGCCAATTTGCACACGGCATTCAAGAGCTCCGTCCAGTCGTACGCCACCCTCGTTACAAGACTGAGGTGTGCCGCATGGTCCTAAACGGCGTTCCTTGCCCTTACGGCCACCGTTGCCACTTTCGCCATTCTCTCACCGAAGAGGAGCAACTCACCAGGGAAATCAATTCCAACTCTCTCAATCCGATGAACTATCGGTAACATCTTATTCTAGCCTATCTTATAATAGTCCCATTGTTTCAAGAAAATCTGAACTGTTATGTGCATCAAGAGCTGCTTATAGTACTCGAGAGTTTGCCTGATTCCCACCAAATATAGAGAAGTTGGCATCTGTATCTAAATAGGATTTTAATTTTTTCTATTTTTTTTTTATTTGAAGTAAATAAGTGAAAGTGTCGTAAATATATGATAACGGGGGTCTGCATGACGGAAAACGGGTCATTAGTCATTCATTACATGGAACAGAGGAAATCTTGCGGTGAAAAGACGATGATGTACCTTCATCATTTTTCGACATGCTTTACGTTGAAAAATGCCGTGATATATAATAAAGCATTACCTTCTTTAATGGTTATTTGTGTGGTTGGTTAATGTTGAAACTCCATTTTGCAATTATGTAAAGGTTTTTTGCTTAGTGGTTAAGCAAGTTTTGATGCTGATAGTTCACCTTTGTGAATTTTATTATGATGCCTGGCAAGGCAAATGATCTTAATGGACACTCAAGTAGGTGGATTTTGGCCCAAAGTGTGATTAGTTTTGTCTATGGTCAAACTAAATGCTTTAGCATTAAGGTCAATATCATTTTTTCAACTAGTGTAGACCGTATTTACGGAGTAGACTCGTCCTCGACTAGGGGTGAGAATAAGTCGGAACGATCAAAATCAACATCTTCGGATTTTGGATGATTTAAGGTTGAAGTTGGCAAAACTTATTAAAAATTTATTATTTTTTAATAAGTAAAAGACATACATATGGAATATAATTTACTATTTATTAATGTATTTTAGAAACAAAAGAAAAAGTTTTGGTATCATTTTTACGATTAAAATTGAATCGAAAATAAAAAACTCCAATATTTTTCATACATTTATTTTATTTCAATCCAACAACTTACGAAAACTATAGAATATCGAAAAGGTAATTTTTTTTTTCTAAATAATTCGAAAAGATGTGGATCGAAATCGAAATTTGTGTTCTCGCTTTTTTTTTTTATAAGAAGAATTGTGTTCTCACTTTCACCCTTATGTTGGACTCATTTTATAATTCAAAACCTACTATGTCCCAATTTATTTATTTTTATTTTCTTAAAATCTTGTATCAAAACGCTTTTCTCCCAAAATAAATAAATAACATTTTCCAAAAATCATTCCAAAAAACAAGTTTTGTTATCCTTTTTTCTTTCTTATTGCCATTTGCATGAATGTATAAGTTAAACCAAATGCTATAGCACAAAAAGATACCTCTATCCAAATTTCAAAGGACATATACATAAAATGTATGGTAAAAAGACAAGGATATATATGAAATGGCTTATGGGATTCTGATTGAAATAAGGGATGCGATAAATGTCGTTTCAACTTTAAATATACTGTTTCAACTTCAAACATGAGTTTGACCTTTTTTTAGTCTAAAGTTTGCAAAACTCAAAATACGGAATTTTTATTTCTCTAAGTTAACTTTCTAATACAACTTTATTCGCCAAGATCGGATGTCGGGTAAGAAAGATATGTATTAATCTATAAATGAGAAAGATATCAATTAATTTATGATGATGGTCATAATTTTGATGTTTTGAGTTGTCTAAAATTCAAAATGTGACTCATTCATGCATAATTTTGTTGTCCGATATCCGATCTAGCTGATTCTAGCTAGATTAGAATACTATTTCAAAGGCCTACAGTCTTCATGTTTTGCATTTGCCAAAATCAAACTATAAAATAATCAAAATTACGTCGGAATTAATAAAATTAAAACGACATTTAACATTTTATTTGGAAATAAAAAACCCCAACGCTAAAATATTTAACCGAATGTATGGCACACGTTCATCAATGCCACAAATATATCCTTGAAATCCACAATATAAAATATTATTGAATTGCATTTGCGGGAAACCTGCATATCCCATCATGGAATGTGTACCCTCAAAAAAATTAGCCACATTGAAGAAGACAATTGCTCCAAGACTAAGAGAAAAAAAAAAACATAAAAAAAAAAGGAAATCATGGGCCTACCATATATAGATTACCCAATCATTTTTGGATCACATATAGGGCAATTTGCTTTGTATAATAAGTTATGTAAATCCATTTGATTTTACCATAGTGATTAGAAAAGCATGATTAATGTTAGGAAATGTTTTTTTTTTCTATAAATGAACTGCAGCCAACCATATGCAGTAAGTGCACTAAGTAAATCTACACTCTTGTAAATCATACGAAAAACATAAACCATACGAAACATTAAAATAATACTAGACCAACCGTGTCTGAGAAGCTCGATCCACAAAATGTGTATTATTCAAAAAATATTAAGAAGGTGTTTGACTAATTTTATAATTAGCTTTATATCCATTTGATATCCATTTGTTTATTAATTTGCTTTATAGAACAAGCTTACTTCAAGCTCTCGGATTTTATTAGAAGAGAAGAATGAATGATTTTTTAAAGAAATTGTAGCCTATATTTTTTATAAATTAATTTTGTATTCCGTATTTTTCTTGTTTTGCAATTTATTGTTGCAGATGCAAAATTTGTCGGAAACAAAAATCATAAATTGTCTCCGATTGTCTATATTTATAAACAAATCCGACACGGTGAAATGATGTAGATGTCGAGTTTAACTGTTCATGATCATATCACCCGCGAAATCATATGCTAATCGGCCGAATAATGAATCGAAATAAATGTCATGCCAAAAATTGTCTTAAAAAAGAGAAAAATACATGATAAATAAATTGATTATATGGACAAAACAATTATTTATTTATTATTTACTTTAATATAATATTGTATTTCTTTTATTTTTTTTTTCCTTTTTTGATAGAAATGTAATATTCCTTCTCTCATCAAACTTGGTGAGTATATATTATTGGTGGCAAAATGCAAATAAATATAATGAAATATTTTGCACACATATATTTAAATTAAAAAAAAAAGAAAAAAAAAATTGACACTCAAACCAAAGCAATTGCCACAAGCGGCAAGATATCACTAATTTCCACACAAAAAATGTGGAATCGAGTGGGAGTGGGAGTGGCTTTAAACGGCTAAACATGGGAATTGGAATCGCCGCAGCGGCGTCTCGATGCTCACGCGCCGCTCTGTGTCCGCCCATAACCCTACATTGACTAGACATTTCAAAGATCTTCTCTCCCCTTATTGGATTTTGCCCCAACTTCACATATCTCTAGATACCTCTTTCGAGTATCTAATCATTGATTTTCTCTCTTATTTTATCCATTTTTTTTTTTTAAATTTCATATATTAATTTGTGATGGATGAAATATTGAAATTAGCTTCAATGTATCATTTTATTTTGTTTGCACGAAATTAGTTCGTTTACGAAAACTCAACGCATATATGTATTTGACTATTTTTGTATTGTCTTATTTGATCTAAAACTAACAAAAATAATTTTTAATGAATATTTGAACCATGGCTCTTAGAGTATATTTTTGGGGGTAAATTCTCAAAAAAATCGTACATGTATAATATTAGGGATGAGCATGAAATGAGTAGTCATCGGTTCACTTCACTTCGATCAAACAACTTTGTTGAATAGTGGAAATTGTTATTGGCCCCGCCTTCATAGGTCAAGGTAATGATTGGTAACCGGTTTATCGATTGCAAAATGAGTCGTTTAAATGGTATTATCTTTCATCTAATTATTTAAAAATATTTTAAAGCAAGAAGATGATATTTTATCAGTTTATTTAAAAATATTTCAAACATTTTCAAAATATTAGGAAGAATATTTTACTGAAACTTGTTTTGCAAAATCCATAACCTTCAAATTAAGCGTATTCTACTAAACTTTTACATTTGAAGTAGATATATAAAAGAATAGAAATTGGAAAACAAGATTAGTACGCAAATGTCTATTGAAGGAATCAATGGCCTCGAATTCATAATAAATAAGTAAAACAAAGATGTTATGTGAAGTATGATAAATAAAACGAAAACATAATTTACTATCCCGAAGTAAATACTTGTGGACTGCCTTCAACGACGAAATACTTACAATATAAATAGTATTACAAGAATAAACAAAAAGGGAAGTAAACAATATTTCCTATTATGAAGGTATCTTACACAGATTATTCATACGATCAAGTCTAACTTCTTCAATATATACTAACAGATCTCTAGACTTCCAAACTATGCACTCAAGATGATTACTTGCAATAGACTCTAAAAGAGATATAACAATAATTCAAATCTATATTCTTCGTCTCTCCAAGATGCTCTCACGGTTCTCTTTTAAATCCGTAATGAAACACTCAAATGTGGACTTGTATTTGTAGGCTTCAACACGCGTCCACTACCTGCACATGTTAAGCGAGCAACCAAACACTAATAATAGCTACTAATCCATTACTAATGAACTTTGTATCTTGAGTTTATGAGTTTTGAATTTTTGACTTGTTTTATTAGTTTAACTTATAGATTTGAATTAGTAGTAAAATAATATTATACTAATTTTATTAACAAACTACCATTTAATTATAATTAAAATTTTATTATTATTAAATGGTAATTCTTGGATAATTATTGACCAACCGACCGTTGAGGAAAACGAAAGTATGAATCATTTCTTACATGGTTTAGTTAAAATCTTGGGTGCAACTCTATGTATGGACTATTAAAAATGATAAAAAAAATAGATCAAGTTGATCGATAAAACTGACACATGCTCAATCTTGTATAAATTTTAATTAGATTTTTGTCGGAAGGACAATCTTAAAGGGAAATAAACATATTTTTCTTTCATTGAGTTACGACAAAATTACACCACAAGGTCTTATCATGTCAATAAAATCCAGGGATTAAATTCAAGGAGTGTCAAATTCAATAAAAAGTGAAAGACGATAGAATATATCTACAACTCTTGAAATATAGAAGAACCATAAATTGACATAGTATGTACTAAATAGTTACCCGTATGCCTTACGATGTTATAAAGTGGTTTATATAAAATTTGAATATGTATATAACTATATCTTATTAATTTAACGGATTATTAATTTAACGTGTTGTTCTCGAGTGCGGACCAATAAACTATATATTTTAAGAGAGATTATTAATTAACTGAGTATTAAACTATTGAGATTTTACTATATAATGCGCAATTCCTTTTATAACAAGAGTTAAAAATATTACTATGTTTTCCTTTTAATTATTCAACAATTTTGATACCCCGTAAATTTGGTGTACTAAAAAGTTGCTCTATTTTGTAATATATTCAATCAATTAATTTTTAGAACCACCTATTTCTTTTTTTAAACTATCTCATTCATTTTCTTTTTTTTGATTTTCCGTTTCCTTTTCAATTTTTTTCTTTTTTTTT